CATTGTCATTTGACCTGTTGTTAATATGAAAAGGTTTAAGTCACCATTATCATTATCATCTAATTACTCCCTTATAACATTTAAATAATACTGTATCCATGTCACAGAGTTCAAACTTTGTAAATCTACGGTTCCTAATGACGAAGCTAAGTTTGTAACCTTTACAGCCGTGCAATATTGATTCTCTCAGAATAGCCGGCAATGCTAGCAATATTGATTTGCTCTGTGTTCGATACATATTACGAAAGGCTCACAATCACTGGCTTTTTGTGATAATTTCATTACACTGACTATTGACCAGATATGTTTCTATATTCATTGTTTTTAGCTCAAACTGTGTGTTTGACTCTGCTTTGCTTTATCTGTAGGAGTGACAGACGTGTCTGCAGCTCTACGCTGACGATTAGAGCAGAGTGGAGGTCGGAGGAAGTCAGAGAGATCTTATTTATCAGTGTCTGCACTCAGTCACTGTCAAAGTCACCTTTACTGGCCCTTCAAACTGTGTCTACGTCCCCCCCCCCCGTCCTTAAACTCTCCCTTTCTCTCCCCCGACTCACCCCCACTGATGAGTGACAGCACAGCTAATGTGGTCACAGCCGGGTACAGCACGGGGAAGGGGAGATAGAGGGAGGGTCGTCGGCAAAAGCTCAGCAGCCAATCTCCTCCCAGCTTGATTGCAGGATACGTAGCAGATGGGCCGTTGGAGGAAAAGAAAGATCTGCAGCAAGCTGCTCTTCAGTGGGCTGTCGCTTGTAGGACAATAGTAGTAGTTTGTTAAAATTGCCATGTTCTAATGATATGTAAAAAAAAGGTGTTGAAAGTTGAAAAAGACTTCATTAAGTCACTGTTTTTCTCAGCTATGGGACCCGTCAAGGTGGTAGCAAAACAAAATACAGAGGCAGATTCATTACTCATCGTGCCTATAGCATACATAATAATAAGTGGATTTGGGGCCACAACAAAAAAAAAAAACAATATAAATCATATCATGTAATAAAGGATCAAATGTGTCATCTGTTGATTGTTTTTTCCAATTCTCCATTGTGATCTTATGCAACATAGTTTTTTTTTAACTTATTCATTATTTTAGCCAAATATGACATCTTAGTCATCTAAATTTTGCTATAATATTTTTTTCAATTTTAAAACAATACTAGCCACCCATATGTGCCTCTATTTCAAATGTTTTATTTTATTATTAAACACACCATTTAAATGTGACAGTAGTTATCATTACATTTCTTTTCTTGAATACAGAAAACCTAAAATTACTACTTAATCATCTTATATTTTGTACATGAATGTTTTCGGTTCTGTCATCACCATCCTTTCCATACCAGAGGTTGGACAATTTACAGAATGTTACACAGTATAGTCTCTATACTGACATCAGCCACTATATACTGCATGGAGCTTCTTGTTCTGAGGAGACCAAAATGGACAGCAATCCTTACTGACAGACTTTTTACTTGTACAATGACTAAAACAAAAAGAACACCGTTCAAAAGAGTGCTGACAGAATAAGAAGAACCTGGGCCGCAAGTAAATTAACAAGACACAGTCTGCAGTGTTTTTGAAAGAGCGATGGCTACTTGTCTTTTAGAGGGAGAAGGGGAGATAAAGTAATAGAATGAAAAAAGGAGGAGAAAGGCGTGTGCAGTGCCAGTCAGCAGTCACTCAGTAGTCTCCACGTCTCCTGTCCTTGCATGCAGGTAGATTTTCCTTGGGCTTGGTGCATTAAAAAACGCTTTTAAGCCTCAGAGAGAAATAGAAAATGAGAGACTTTGAGAATCAAAGAGACTGATATGCTATGTACATACACTTTGTTTTTAGTTTTAAAAAATAAATGATGATATACAATGATGGTCAAATAGAGAGGGAACCAGCAAGCACTTAAAGCCTTGCAACTTTGTAGATTAGAGTTCATGACCATTATTATTCAACAACATCTGTTACATTGTAGCTCGTACAGTCAATTTTTCAGCACAAATGACACTGTAACAAATGAACACAACAAGCATATGCGTATTGAATCGCAAATAGCTCAATCACACTCTTGACATTGCCACTCCAGCTGGCTGCATCCTCCCTCCCCTAATTGGAGCTCGTAGGAATCCAGGCTCTCATCTCCTCTTCTTCCTCCTCTTCCCTCACAAAGGTTATGTGAAATTATCAGCAAGAACACGAGCGAAACAAGAGGAGAAAGCGGAGGGAGAGAAGTACATGTAGGAGAGAGGGTGCCAATAATGTCATGTCCCCATTGTCTCTATTTGACACAACAGTAATGGTTCAGCAAATTCATTTATTAGTAAAAGCTGCCACGCTAGCAGTCCGCAAACATCAATCCTCAAACATTCTCACAGCTGCTTACTTGGGTGATTGATGCCCCAGAAAATTCATTTTTGAGGACAATGGGGTCATCTCCGAATAAGAGGACTTGGAACAAGAAAAAACAAATCAAATGTTAGAATACTTTCTAACACTACGTATTCAGTAGTTCTGTGAGAATTTAAGTGGCAATTGACTCTGATGGAGGAAATATAACCTTGTTGTTGCACCCGTATTACACACAGTCAATATTTTCATTTCATCTGAGGCCCTTTGGCGAAGCAGCTCACAAATAGCATTCTGTGTCTTCACAAACAATTTGCACTGGTACAAAATGAAGCATGAAGTCTACTCCTACACTACAAGTCTGCCAGGTATTGGCACAAATTAGGGTTTTCTCTGTTGTGATTTTACAAATTCCAAGCATCTTTTTTTGACCTTTGTTCTCCAAGATCACATTATCCAGAAATGTAAAGGGATTATCAAACTGATTATCCCTTAGTTATTTTCTATTTTTAGCAAGCAAATAATCATAATAATTAAGAAAAAAATGTCAATCTCAACTTACCCAAGGTGAAGTCAAGAAATTACATATCTTTACCAAAAGACCAAAACATAAAAGCAACCAATTTTCACTGACATGAAACAGAGAAAGGCAGTACATCTTTAAATTTGTTAAGCTGGAACGAGCAACTGACTTGAATGTTTGATCAGTTATCTAAATTGTTGCTGATTCAGTTTCAGCTGATTGACTCATCAGTTCACAAACGTAATAATTGTACATATATAGCATATTGTATTCATACAGTCAAATCGCTTGGTCATCTGCAGGATTTAGGTCACTTCAGAAATCTTTTTAACAAACCAAAATTCAAGCAGGGATAGCAATTGTGGTGGTCAATGGTCAAACAGTGCAAATTTGTATATTAAAGTTCGCCAAAGCTGAACTCTAAACAAAAGCACTGCACTCATTCACTTCACCACCATCACTGATTACAACGGTTTCATTCAATTTAATTCATTTTGGTGAAAATGTTTTGAGCTGCCCCCTAAAATGGGGTTAATTTGAGTGGTCAGTGGCATTGCAGTGGCATTATACCAGTTTCACAGTGTACCGTGGAATGAAAATTGGCCATCTATATTATTGAATTCTAGTGTATTAGTGTTTTTTTCTTTTTTTTTTTTTTAAATGCAACTGGACAGAGAATCTCACCTGTGAATGTCCTTTCCTCCTCGACTGCCTCACATAGTCACAAAAATCCAGTGGAAAAAATCTCAGAGAGAAGCAAATCTCCATCCCCCAATCCCACCAATCTCCATCCCCCCAAAAAAGAAATTAAAATCAGCAGTGTGTGATTACTTTGAATAGTGATTGTCATCGTGGATGGGATGCAGTTTGTGAAAAATGTAGATGCAAAGTGGCTGCCAAAGGAGGAAACACGGCTCCTGGCTACACCTGCATTGTCTGCCTGTTCGTTAACCTCTGGCTTACAAACACACATGCACTGACCCCGATCTGAGATCATAAAGAAACACAAACACAAACTTCCCCGGCTCAGGGGGCCTGACATAAGTGAGTGTGTGTGAGGGGCTGTGGGGCTTAGCTCCGGGTCAGAGGCATGACAGAGAGCGGTGGAGAGCGCATACTCACTATGCCACTGCAAGTGCAACAAAAGCACTGCACACAAAAAGTAAATAAGAGAAATGTATTCATATAAAGCGCACAAAAGATAAGCAGATGAGGAAAAAAACTGCAGAATACAGTTCATTGAGGTAACTCAGGTTTGCCAAGGCTGCACTGAAGCAACAACACACTTTTAAATAGGGAGAGAAATTCCCTCCAAACAGCGACAAGACAAGATGGACTACACATACACACAATGTATAAAAAACGTTGAGGAACAGTTTGTTGCAGTCATTGTAACTGATAATACTAATGATGATAATTGTGTACTAACGTATAGCGTGGCACATATTTTCTGAGGCAGTTATTGTGAAAATATCGTACGTTACAGTCATCAGTTGAGAAGAATCAATGCACTTGTGTCTTTATACACAGAGCAAGGCCAGAGCAGCAGCATGGCAGGCTGTAAACTCCACAAACTTTCAAAGTTATACGTTTCAAAATGACCACAAACCACAAAAACAAACTTATTTAAGCGGAGAAGGGTGATAGAAAAGGCAGAATGGTGCCGGACAGCGTGAGGCAGGGCAGCATGACTTGCGTCAGTGAAGTTGGATAAACCAATCAGACGGTGGTACAACTGCCTCTACTGCCGTCCACTGTGATTGACTCTTTGGCTGACAGTGCTGTCAGGAGCCCGACAGGAGAGATGCTCCGTGGTGCGCTACGATTCTATAACTGAACTATGAGTTTCACATTTTTACTTTATCTGACTGTGTGGATATCTCATCTTGTCTTACAGGTAAAACATGAGGCTCATGTAGACTGATATAGGAGTTGACACTGACACTTACAGGGCAGGGGAGTTAAATATATAACCTTATTATTCTGAGGTAAGGTGTATTAAAGAGAAGAATGTTCATAAAAAGAAAAAATATTAATACATAAAAAGACTCTAAGTCGAAATAAATACCAACTATTTTCTTGAAGATGAGTTTATCTTTCTCTAACCCCACCTGCCTTCTTGTGAGCTAATTGTTTCTTGTACCTGTGCATCCACAAGGAGGTGCCTCATCAGGGTCATGGACTTCTGCAGCGTCTCCTTCTCGGGAGGACGGAAGGCATGCTCCTCCTGCTCGAGGGGCTTGGGTCCAGTCACCATGAAGCTTGCAATCTGGTCATTCAGGCTGTTCAGAGATTGCACAGCTAGAGGGAGACACAAAAATAAATGTGATCACAAATAGGCTGTTAACACAGAGCATTTCCTCTGTTTGGATTTTGACGTGGTGATTAAAACATATCAGTCATTAATCTGGTGACTTTAACTTTAACTGCACTTCTTCTTCTTCTTCTTCTTGATCCTCCAGGAAAAAGATGGCATTACAAAAAGATAATTAAAGAGTAAAAATTACGTCTCGTTTTATGTCCTCTCTATCAGAGTGCAGGCAGGTTTAAGTAGATCATAAAATGCTTTCAATACCAAAGCACCACTATATACACACACACACAGACACACACAGACACACACACACACACACACACACACACACACACACACACACACACACACATTTCTTCTTCCTTTGTGAATATACTGCCAGCCTCTTACTGAGCAGGAACTACAGAGATAACCCAGTGGAAGAACACGGTTTCCTACTGTCACACTGTCACCGACTTTCTCTGTCAGCGCCCTTTCTGGTCCAGAATGTTCCATGTAGGCCTGAGAGCCATCCTGTTTTTGTTTCCCTGTTCTTGCCTTTGTGTGTCCCTGGCCAACCTCTCCTTTCAGGTTTCCTCCCCAGCTAAGCTTCCACATTAAAAACTAGCCAGCCCTACTGTATTTCCTCTTCTCACACACACACACACACACACACACACACACACACACACACACACACACACACACACACACACACACACACACACACACACACACACAGACTTCCTCAAACCTCTTCCATTTACCATTAATCCTCCTTAGTCTTTGAAAGGTCAACACAACTATTTCCGAGGCCACCCACATGGTAGAAATGTTGGATAAATGAGAGAGTTGGAGAAAAAGCAATTTCCATATTTTTTTGCCTTTTTAGCATAAGTATCTTTTGTATTTTTCATGAGCTGCTACAGTAACCCCTAATGTCTCATTATCCATCTTCCCGGCATTTAAACTTTGCTAAAACCTCCAACTCACAGCTTTGTCAGTTGTAAAGGGAGACAGAGGCGCAGTGATCAAGGATTGACCTTATGTCCAGAGGTCATCCGATACAGACTCTGACCCATTAAATATCTTGTGTTCTGCGAGAATAATGCACTGGCACATTTCTGCCAAATAAAGAAACCCAACCTGTTAAATCCATACAGAGAAGGATGATTTCAGGGCCAAGAATCTGGAAAGGGTCTTTTCAGGATGAAAATATAAAGCCTCTTTCACACACAAAAGCCCACGCAAAAAAAAAAGAGAGAGCATAGATTAATGTGTTACATAACCAAAAAATTCTTTCACCGTGGCTGACATTTCCAAGCAAACAAGCTTTGAGTAGGAAATTTGACAAGTCGGCACCGAAGGCGGCAGAGATAAGAGGGGAAAGAGGGGGCTGGAGAGGAAGACTGTGTCCCCTCGAGGTGAGAGTTGAGCAGACGTCAGATGTTTGAATACGTGAGTGAGCTGATTGCCGCCCGAGTTCAGAGACACTGCGGCCAGTTCACCACTCCACACGCTGTCTACACATAAGTAGATAGACTACAGTAAGCTGGTGAGCAAGAGTCTGTTCTTACACATTTTATTATTAGTAGTATATATGTAATTGTGATTGATTCTAAAGGGAAAAGACCTCATTTCTACTTCCTGCTAATTTCAGCATATTTCGACTGAAGTGGAAACCACACAAACACACATTAGCAATTATGTATAAAGCCTCTTCTCCAGTCGAGCTTTGGCAGATGTGATTTCAGCCGCTTACTCCTAGTGCCCTCTACTGGTCAATTAATGAACATGCAGGCACTTGTGGTTAAAAAATTGTGCAATATTGATCTTTCCTGTTCATATCCTGAGAATACAGACACTTAATTGGTTTTGGTTTGTATGGGAAATAATTTGATGCCAGAGAAAGAAAGCAGGAGCAATGTCAGAATGTAAATTTGGCTCTGGAGAAGTAGATAAGATCGGTGGATTGTAAGCTTATGGGTAATTTTTTAAGAGCTTGTTCACTTGTCTGCACTCTAACTGCCTAGAGGCATGTAAGACACTTTGTGGTAACATTGATTTCCATCAGAGTTGGGCTCAGTGGCCACTTTCGGTGTAAAATTGAATGAAATCTAATACAACAGCTCGGCCATAAATTCTACCTTTACAAAGAAATGTCCTCTTTTGATTGACACTGTCAGAGAGGTATTGATTTAAATATATGTTTATTATTCAGGCTGTAAACTCAGTTGACAGTTAATTAGGTACACCTATATAAAGCTAGTCTAATTATCTATCTATCTATCTATCTATCTATCTATCTATCTATTCATTCTAATGTAATCTAATACAACAGTATAATAAATCTCACCTTCATGAAGGATATAATGTTCAGGTTTTGTTCAAGCTGTTTTAGTGAGGTAATAGTTAAACTGCATATCTGCGTATTTCCCTGTACCTCATTAAACAGAGAGGCGTATCTGTTATTCAGCCTACCCTCATTGATAAAAATATACATGATCAAAATAATTAAACAGCCTCACCTCAGTCACGCAAAACAGTTCAACAGCACCACAAACTACAGCCTTCAAAATCATTAAATGAAAGTTCAATCAAAACCTCTCTAAAACTATTTCAACAACTGAACATTATAACCTTTATGAAGGAACTTATGTATCAGACTGCATTATTTTTATCTAAGTGAATCTAATAAACTGGCAGTGTAGTTTGCAGTGGTGTTGAAATGGACACATTAAATTGAAATGTGTTTCTAATATTCTTCCCCCCTCAAGCTTGACATTTTTTTTGTGGTGGGCAAAACATTAGAAACATATCAATTAGAGGTGAAATTAACTGATTAGTTGATTAACAGAAGATCCATGGATAAACAATTGTTTTTTAAAGTAAAAAAAGATACTTCACTTATAAAATGTGAATATGTGCTTGTATGACCATGAATATAATATCTTTTTAGACCAAAAGATGAATTGAATTATCAAGAAAAATACCAGTGGATAAATTAATTAAGAAAACAATTTTTAGTTGCAGCTACTCTCAATCTTATTCACACCACTGCAAACCACAGCCTATGTAATTAATACATCAGATTTTACAGGTGTACCTGCTGTAATAAAGTGACCACTAAGCGTATGTCATGAATTGAAATGTAATCACAAAATAAATGAATTTAGCACATCAATGGGCTTTCGATATATTAGCTAACAACAGATTAGACAAAGTGTCACTGTAGTGTAAACGTCATTGATCAAATTTTAATTAATAGCCATTGATCATGAAAGCTACACTACGCACTGAAATCAATATAGATATTTTGCTGTAGTACAACAATCATGCATGCGCACACACACAGTAACCTTTTACCCACCCTTGATATTCAACATAAAATATCGGTTGTCCACTCCAGACGCCAATAACGCGATCATTAAGCGGTTGAAGTGACAACGTACAACCAAATGGTTTGGAAACAACACGCATCATTTCACAGACAAACTATGAGCCCGTTTAATGAAGCACAAAATCAATACAGTTTATAAAACCTGTTTCTTCCATGTGTCAACAAAAATCAATTCAGGACAATAATCATATACACACATGAACACGTATCTCTACGTGCTGCACTTTCATCAGCAACAGACCAAACAATTATTAATTATAGATTTCAGCACATTATAGATCATATAGTTCATCAATACTAATAGAAGCAGGGGCTTTGGAGGCCTGAGCTGCTCCCTCAGGTCAGGCACTATAAAAACAAGCATTATAGCATAGTGTAACATTTTACAAGCTTTAACTGATATTGGCCGCATAAAACATTTACGATGTAAACTTGGTTACTTTCAATCACAAATTCTGTGTTTCCAAAGTAACCAATATATCACTGTGACAGACAGGGCAATGCAGTGACATTGCTGCCAAGGATAAGAATGCAGAAATATAACAAACTACAGGGATTGTCATTCTGTGTCTTCATCTGAAAACTGAAATAGATTTCACCTGCAGCTTGCCTTCAGCAAACCTGAAAGCTGACGAGAGAGGCAAAGGTATGGAGGTGGGAAGGGAAAGGAAAGCTAAAACTGGAGTAGTTAGATTACAATGGATGCAAAGAAAATAAAATTGTCATTCCAGCTCAGCCCTTGCACTTTTCCTGTCTCCTCTCTGCTTTTCTGTCTCCCTTTTTTCTGTCTGTGTCTCGCCAGCATTGGCAAATCTCAAAGTACCTTACATGTCCTCCTATAGAGCAGGAACAGCACAACAAATGAGGAAGAGAGGCCACAGCAGCACCCTGTCAGGCCTTTATCTGTTCAGGAGGGAGAACTCTGGGTGCCAGGGGAAATAAGATCACTACAGATGAAAAATGTTTGAAAGACTGTATGCAGCAAACCTAATAGGATAAGGTGCAGTAGTCAGGCTAAAGTCGAGATAAAAGGAGCTTATTTCATGGGAATTGTTCGCGGCACACATGAAATCTTTGAGAAAGGTTGAGAAACATGGAGAATGCTAGTCAAAAATCCATTTCTGCGGTTTTCTGATGTCAGACTTACATTTGCTGCTACGCACTGAGCTCTACAAGGTCATACTCAAAAGTTCTTCATTTTGGTGTTAAGTATCTAAAAACTTTACTTGACATTAGGTGTAATACTGCAGTTGTAGTTATTAACTTTAAATTGTTGATTGTGTTCATTAACTAAAAATGTATTATGGATGAAGGCACATTTACCCTCTGTGTTAGAAAGCAGTAGATGTTTTAGTACAAATTGTGATAAAAATGATCATATATCACTTATGTATTTATAATTGTGTTAAATAGTATAAAAGGAATCAGGAAAAGTATTGTTTTAGTAGCACTGAAACTCTTTTGTAGGAAGGAATAGTGAAATCTTTACACAGTACCGAGGCCCACTTATTATATCTCTCCAAGATGCTGTTGCTGTATATGATGTATAGCTTCATTTGTCCTGTGATTGATTATTAATTAATTAGATCTAAGCAGGCTATTCTCCTT